AAAACCTATTTTGTATCCTGTAATTCTCAATACTTACATGTATTTGATCTGTCCCTACATTTTATATTTTTTCTCACTGCTTGGTTGTATATTCACCCATAGGTACTGCTCTATTATTGCAGCCTTATAATATACAGTTCTAGTATCTGTTGGCCCACTCTCTCCCCCTCATTATTCCATCAGTCTTTGACACTCACAAAACAAGGAGAGGAAAACAAATACGTCTTTTATTGAGATTTAGAATATATCTACATTTCCTCAAAAAATAGTGAAAACATGTTAAAAATAAGACATGAAACCATTATTTTAAAACCTTATTTAATTGATGGGCTCATAGATTCAAATTTCTTTACTTAGTGCTATTAATTTTTTATTACCTGAAAGAAATATTAATGTGTCAATTTCAATGTAATGAATTTCATATATATAGATTTAAATTTTATTCTGAGGTGACATTTTATTTATTAAATTTATTGGGGTTAATAAAATTATGTAGGTTTCAAGTATATATCATCTGCAACACATCATCTGTATATTGCACTGTGTGCTCACCACCCAGAGTCAAATCTTCTGCCTCCATGTATTTGTCCCCTTTACCCTCATCTACCACCCCCCTCCTCCCTTTCCCTCTGGTAACCACTATACTGTTATCTGTATCTATGAGTTTTGTTTATTTGTCTTATTTGTTTGTTGCTTTCAGTTTTATACCCCACATATCAGTGAAATCATATGGTTCTCAACTTTGTCCATCCATCCATCTGACTTATTTCACTTAGCACAGATTCAGATTTCAATGGTGAAATGCAAGGGTGGCTCAATACAGGAAAATCAATCAATGTAATACACTATATTAATGGAATGAAGGAAAACCACATGATCAAATTTAACGGATGCAGAAAAAGCATCTGACAAAACCTAAACCTGTCATGACAAAAACACTCAACAAATTAGGAACAGGAGGGAACTCCCGCATCCTGATAAAGGGCATTTGTGGAAAACCCACAGCTAACATCATAGTCAATGGTGACAACCTGAAAGCACTCCCCTAAGATCTGGAACAAGACAAAGATGTGACTTTCACCACTTTAGTCAACACTGCACTGGAAGTTCTAGCCACAGCAATCAGGCAGGAAAAAGAAAGAAAAGGCATCCAAATTGGAAAGGAGGAAGTAAAACTATGTATTCACAGATGACATGATCTTATCTATAGAATGTGATCCACAAAAATACTATTTGACTTAATAAACAAATTTAGCAAAAGTTGCACGATACTAGATCAAAACACAAAAATCAGTTGTATTTCTATGAACTTGCAGTAAACAATCCAAAAAAGAAATTAAGAAAACAATTCCATTTAGAATAGCATCAAAAAGAGTAAAATACTTATGAATAAATTTAACCAAAGAGGTGTAAGACTTGCACAGTGAAAAGCATAAAATAATTACTCAAAGAAGTTAAGGACAATACAAACAAATGGAAACACATTCCTGCTCATGGATTAGAAGACTTGATATCATTAAGATGGCAATACTTCCCAGAGCAATCCACATATTCAATACAATCCCTATGAAAATTTAATGGCATTTTTTTATAGAAATGGGAAAGCTGATCCTAAAATTCAAGTGGATTTTCAAGGGAACCCAAATAACCCAAACAATCTTTAAAAAGAACAAGCTCGTAGAACTCATATGTCTTGATTTCAAATTTTACTACAAAGCTACTAACTTGAGACTGTGTGGTACTGGCCTAAGGACAGACCTATAGGTGAATGGAATAGAGTTGTGAGTCCAGAAATAAACCCATAGATCTATGGGTTTGACAAGATCTAATGACTTTTTCACAAAAACCTACTGATTTTTGACAAGAGTGCCAAGACCATTCAATGGGAAAACAATAGTCTCTTCAACACATGGTGCAGGACAACTGGATGACCACATACAAAAGAATGAAGGTGAACCCCTCCCTCATAGTGTATACAGAAACTAAGGCAAAATGGATCGAAGAACTAAGATAAGAGCTAAAACTATAAAACTTAGAAGAAAGCCTAATGGTATAGCTTCATGTCGCTGGATTTGGCAACAGATTTCTTATATATGACACTAAACAACAGAACAATAAACAACAAAAGGCTAGATAAACTGGACTTCATCAAAATTAAAAACTTTTGTGTATCAAAGGACACTACCAAGGAAATGAAAAGAAAAACTACAGATGGAAGAAAATGCTTGCAAATCATACATCTGATAAGGATATTAGTGTCCAGAATGTCTGAAGAACTCATGTAACATAACAAAAAGACAACCCAATTTAAAAATGGGCAAAGGACTTCTATAAACATTTCTCCAAAGAAAATACACAAATGGCCAACACACACAAGAGGATCAATATCATCAGTGATTTGGGAAATGCAAATCAAAACCACATACTTTACATTTACTAGGAGGGAACACTTTTAAAAACCACTTACTAGGAGGGAACACTTTAAAAAACCAATTAAGTGTTGGTGAGGGTGTGGAGAGAGTAAAACCCTCCTCCATTGCTGTGGGAATGTAAGATGGTGCAGCCGCTGTGGAGAACAATGTGGCAGTTCCTCAGTAAGTTAAACGTAAAACGTAAAACTACCATATGATCCAGAAATTACATTTCTAGGCATATACACAAAAGAACTGAAAACGGATTTAAACAAATACATGAATGTTCATAGCAGTACTGTTCACAACAGCCAAATGGTGGCAGCAAGCCAAACATTCATCAACAGAAAAACAAAAGGCAGTAGATACACAAAATGGAATATTACTTAACATTAAAAAGGATGAAGTCCTGGTACATGCTATAATTGGATGAACTATGAAAACACTATGCTAAAGGAATACATCCAGACACAAAAGGCCATGTATTACAATGTAGCCTTAGTTCACATTCCGTGGTTTCAGTTACCCATAGTTAATTGCAGTCCCAAAATATTAACTGGGAAATTCCAGAAATAAACAATTCCTAAGTTTTAAACTGTGTGCCCTCCTGAGTAGTGTGCTGAAATCTCGTGTCATCCCACTCCATCCTGCCTGGGACATAAATCATCCTTTGTCCAGCATCTCCAGGTGACATAGGGTCACTTAGTAGCCATCTTGTTATCAGATGGACTGTCACAGTATCACAGGGCTTGTGCTCAAGTCACCCTTATTTTACTTAATAATGGCCCCAAAGTGCAAGGGTAGTGATGCTGGCAATTCAGTTATGCCAAACAGAAGCCATAAAGTGCTTCTTTTAAGTTAAAAGGTGCAAGTTCTCAACTTAATAAAGAAAGAGGAAAACCATATGCTGAGGGTGCTAAGACCTACTATAAGAAAGAATCTTCTATCTGTGAAATTTGTGTGAGTTTTGCTGTGACACTTTCAATTGCAAAAGTTACAGCCACAGGGGCCGGCCAAATGGCGTGATGGTTAAGAACTGGCTTGGGACACCAGAGGGCCCCGATTCGGATCCCACATATGAGGGCCAGTGACACTGCCCTCCACAGCTAAGATGCTGAACAACAGCTCAACCTGGAGCTGGGCTGCCGTGAGTTGCCGGCGACAGCGTAGGCTGTAGCCCCTGCTGCAGTGGGTTGCCATGGGCTACCGTATGTAGCCAGCAGCCAACGTGAGCGGCCAGCAGGCACAGTGACCGGCCGTCCAGAAGCTGGTGACTGATCTGCCTCGCCTGGGAAGAGCGCAATGATGGTGCCAACTTGGGCCAGTGAAGCAACGTCCTCCACAACTAGACTGAAGAACAAAAGGACAGCAACTTGTCTGTTCCCCTTCCCCCAATTCCCCAATAAAAATCTTAAAAAAAATAAAATAAAATAAAAAAAGTTACAGCCACAGTGTGTAAGTACTTAGTTAAGATGGAAAAGACATTAAATTTGTGGGTGGAGGACATAAACAGAAAATGTGTTCCGACTGAAGATAATGTGTTGCACCAGAAAGCACTGAGCCTGTATGAAGGCTTCAGCAAGTGGTCCCCTGAAATGAGTGACCTCATTCACATAACTTATTAAGAGTATATTGTTACAATTGTTCTATTGTGTTTTATTGTCGTTAGTCCTTTACAGTGTTAATTTATAAATTAATCTTTCCCCTAGCTATGCATGTACAGAAAAAAACACAGATAGGGTTCGGCATTATCTGCAGTTCCAGGCACCCACTGGGGTTCTCGGAACACATCCCCTGTGGATAAGGGGGGACTCCGGTATATGATTCCATTTATGGGAATATCCAGGATAGGTAAGTCCACACAGACAGAAGGCAGGTTGTGGATGCTTGGAGCAAAGGGAGAGGGAAATGGGGAGTGACTGCTCAATGGGTACCAGGTTGTCTTTGGGGGTGATAAAAAGGTTTTAGAACTAGGTAGCTGATGGTTGTGCAACACTGTGCATGTACTAATGACACTGAATTGTGCACTTTAAAATAGCTAATTTTATGTCATGTGAATTTCACCTTAATAAAAAAACTAGTCATGGCTTCTAAAAATAGTACATTGCTTTCCCTGTTAAAAAGCCCAGTTTTACAAAATACATATTGTATAATTTTATTTATATGAAGTTCTACAAAAGGCAAAACTATAGGCACGGAAAGTAGATCAATGGTGGCCTTGGGCCAGGTTTGTGGGTACTGACTACAAAGGGGCACAAGGGAGCTTTTTGGAATGATACATATGTTCTGTATCTTGACTACGGTGGTGGTGACAGGGGTGCATACATCCGTCAAAACTTATCAAACTGTACACTTTAAGTGTATTTTATTATACAATAAAGCTGGTTTTAAAAAGCTGAGTCTTGATTGCTCTTTAAAAGCCAGAGTTGGCATTCAATGTGAATCAATTTTGCTAGCATGATCAGAATGTGCTTATGATACCTATTAAGCAAAGCAATACCGATGCCATGCATTAACAGTGATCATAAACAAGAGGCAAACTGCCAAACAAGCCAAATACTAAAATAATGAGTCATCATGGTTGCTTACCAATTCTGGAAGAGGACAAATAGTTCCAGTGTTCATGTACAATCCTTCAACTACAATGAAACGTCGAGTTACACGAGCCTTGCGAGGATTCTTTAAAAGAAAAAAACCCAGACGTTTGAAATTGCAGTAACTCCAAACACAGAATCTGTTACCTGCTTCCTAGCACTTTTTCCTTTTAAGATTTATCTATCAAAATAAGCAAATAAATAGAAGGTAATGATGAATTTCAAGCCTGGGTTTGAGATCCTGTTATGAGATAAAGAATAGTGCTTTCTTCCCTCAGGCATTTTTCAGTTCATACAGTCAACTAACTAGGCAACCTTACACTTACACACACACACACACATACACACACACACACACACACACACACACACACACACACACGATTTAAGCACTCTGAGTTTATAACAAAAACAAAACTTTTCAAGCCCAGAATGATGGGGAAGGGGCCCAGGGAACTTTCTGGGGAGATGGGAATGTTTTGTATCATGACGGGCCATCATACCTGGGTTACACAGGTCAAAGTACTGGTCAAAACTGTATGGCTAGGATTGTGCATTTCAGTGTCTGCTAATTTTACATAAAATAAAAATAACTGTGACAATGATGTCAGTCATCATCATAGAGGTACAGTAGGGAGTTAGGTGGAGGTTCAGATGATCAAAGAATGGCAGAATGCTGATAACAAAGTTGGGAGAAGGGTAAGGGGGCTCCACTATACTGTTGTGTTTCCTTTGAATATGCCCAGAATTTTTCATAATAAAAGGTTAAAAAACAGACAAAACCTGCTTTCCCTCACCTACCAAAAACCAGATGAAAGCCTTTTCCTTCCTTACTTCTCACTACTGGGTCAAGTAAAACTTGACTGACCTCATCCAGTGATGTCTGAAACCAGTGGGGTGGAGGCTTTTTCAGACCACACACACCTTGCCACAGCCCATGGCTGGCAAGCTGCTAACAGATCATCACACTGCTGAACACTGATCCACAGAGCTTGCCATAACCTCCCTACCCACAGGTTTCTTGCCTCTAGGCTTCTATCTGACAGACAACTAGAAGCTCCAATATCAAAGCTATGCTTTAACGAGTATTTTAGAACCTGCAGCTGAGATGGACCACTCAGAAAAGCATCTGCTGAAGTACGCAAAAGGATCGACCCATCACTGAGTTTGCTGGGTTATCCCCACTCTGTCCTTAACACAAACCCAAAGGCCGTGGACCTGCTGGGGGTCTTGGATGAGGACGGGGCATCCTACCTCTCCCTGCCTTTCAAAAATGAAGTATTTTTCTTAGGATTTAAAAATGTTCAATGTAGAAATCTTGGGAAATGGAAGAGTACAAAAAAGAATTTAACAAAATTAGCTCATCGCACCACACATTGATAGCTTTTGTCTTGTAAATACATATCTTTATAAATTATTTTGTTCAAATTAGGATTTTACTGTAATAGTTTTAGGACCTGAGTTTTGAAAACACTATGAGCATTTCCATATTATTTAAAACATGATTTAGGGAGATATAATTCTACCTTGAGGGTATACCATAAATTAATGATTCTCCCAATGTTGGATTTAGGTTGTTTCCCTCACTTTGTTTTTTTACATCATGTTGTGAATATCCTCCAATCTTTGACACCGCTTCTAATTATCTCCTAAAGACAGCACCCCAGATACAGGTCCTAACGGTAAGAATCCTGGAATATATTTGCCCACTTACCCGGTAGAAAGGCTGTCAATTCAAAGTCTTCCCAGAATTACAGGAGAGCCCTCTGTCTCGTCACAGATACCAGTGTTGGCACTTATTACTATTAAAAAATGTTCCCTAATTGGACAGGCAACAACTCCTGGCCTAATTTCTCTAATTATTAGTGAGGCCGAACTTTTTTCCACTTGCTCATAGTTATTTGTACTTCTTCTATAAAATGCTGTTTGTATCTACTGTCCTTTATTATTTTCTTTTTATAAGAATTGACATGGGACAAGAGAACCCTGCAGGAAAAAGAATGAAAAACATCTTGGGAAATCAACAACAAAAAAATTTGATCCAATAAACTGCAATGTCTTAATTTATTTTCAAAGGAAAGAGAAGCATCTAAGTAGAAAATATCCCAAATTTAACATTTATATTTTTGTAAAAATGGAAAAAGAATTATTTTTGAAAACAAAAATGTAAAGTTATTTAGGAAGCCTACTCTTGGTAAAAAAATGTGGTGTAAATTAATTAGTAAAAAGGCAGAAACTATAAAATGGAAATACACTTCAAAATAATTTTATTTCCTCTTGTTAATTCAGAAAAATAGTTCCACGGATAAGAAGTCTGGTAAAACACACACACACACACACACACACACACACACACACACACACGAAACTTCCATATGTTTTCCAAATCTGTATAGCACTAACTTGGCAAAATAAACTCTACAGAATATTCGCCACTGGTCCCACTTCCCAAGGCAGTGTTCTTCAATCTGGTAGCATTCTATTACTAAATCAGAATAAGGGACATCTTTTCACAATTTGTAGGAAGAAAGTCATCAGTTGGAACAGCCTCAATTTTAACATTTTCCGTATAGATTTTCCTAAGCTGTGTAACTATGAAACGCTGGCCTATAGTACGTCTAACACAAAATACAAGAGTCTATGTATAGTCATCAGAGATGGAAAGTCATCACAGAATGTATATATTCATTAAATGTTGCTCTTAGGCTGTCACCTAAACAAAGATGACAGAATCCTAAAGGGATAATGCAAACATCTAGAAAAACAGAAATTAACACAAAATTTAGGAACCCGATGAGTATTTTATCAGCTACTCTAGAAATGAATGAGCTGTACTGGAGAAGTCCACTGGAAAGTGGCATGTGACGCAAAGACTGTGTGACCAGGCTCTGCATACAGTCCACACACAAATGGTTCCTGGGGCAGAACCATGTGGATCAGATGACTTTTTCATCCATGTCAACAGAAGAAAATAAATGAGAATTCTAAAGTGATGCCTCTGAACATTTCCTCTGCTACACTCTAATCTAACACAGCGGTGTGAGTTCCATTCCTCCACTCCCCAAGGGGAGGAAAAAGTGTCAATAGGCTGCAAGACGGCAGGTAACCAGGTTTAGGCATTTGTTTCTCACGGCAGCATCTGCTCAGAGCTCCAGCATGAAAGTGAGGTGGGCAGAAAGAATCTCACTTTGTTCATAAATTTATAAATTAAGACAGGCTGCCTGCCACTGTTTCTCCCACTTAATTTATACATGGCTTATTCTGATATAAATGAACCTATTTTGAATCCAACAGGTACATCTCATTAACACTCTAACGAGTTCGGGCACTGTTTCTGTACAGCTGAAAGTGGACCCAGCCACCCCCAAAGTGCACAGTTTTTCTCTCCCTTTCACAAAGCTGCCTGGATTACCTCCCCTAAATTGGCCATGTATAATTATGGCCATGATGAGGCATTCCCCATCAGGCTTGGTTCTCTAACATGAAGTACATTTAATAAGCAGGAACACCCTTAATATCCAAATGGGATCCGCAGGCAAGTTTTCAAGACAAATTGCCACTTCATCTATAATTCAGCTGGTTAGAAAGTATAAAACAGCTGCATTGTTTTCTTCAAAAGAATCATACCTTTTGATCTTCGATCTCTTGTTCTTTCAGCAGTCGCTCCAGGTCAGCCATATCATTATGCTTAAATAACTTAATGTCACTACGTGATGCCTGTAATCCTTTCTGAATAGCAAAGCAGGCAGCTCTATCTCTGCAAGGAAGAGAGACCCACCTGAGCAGGGTGTAAAAAGCCTTGTCAACATTCTTAGAAAAGCAATGCTTCCTTTTGTATGTTGACCAACATCTACCTGTTAATGTGAACACAGCAAATAAAGCACGTTTGAACAGTTATACATCACTGTTTGCGTTTTCACTTCACAAGTTCTTTTCACAAAACTACCATATTGATTCTATTCCAAGAAGCACTTCTGCCACATTTCCACCTCTCAGCAATCTTCTCTTTCTGAGAAACACATGAAACACTGTGCACGGCACCATCAGAGGCCTCTGACTGGACTGCCACACTCCTCTGCAATCACTTTGTCGTGAGAGCAATGCTGGACCTTTGACTCTATAGAATCCAGGGGACAATTGTGTGGGTCTTACAGATTAAACTTCCGTAAGATCTGAATTGGGTTAATTTAGAGGAAACATATTTTTAAATTAAGTTGTATTAATAGAAGTATATGTAAGACTTCTACTACTGGGAAGATGGAGTAGATATATTTTCCCTATTTTTCTCACTAATACGACCAAGACCCCTGGACATTACACATAAAACAAATCTAAGAAGACTCTGAAAGGTGGAGAGAAAAGGCAGATCAGCTAGGGACCTGAGAAATGACATGAAATGAATTCCTTGGGTTTTTCCGACTTGGAGCTGATAAAGCTGACCACCTGGAAATGCCACGGGCACATGCGAAGGGGCTCTAAGAGAAGCCTGTGCTCTGCAGCCAGAGGGATAGCAGAGGGGGCTGCCCAGCAAGCAGTAATGCCTCTATAGTAGCACCACCACAGAAGAACCGGGCCCATCCCCCTCACACCTGCAAAGGCTGGGGGGAAGGACCTACACTCTGAGCCTTGTGAGTCTACAAAAAGGCACCCCAACACCCTGCAATGGGAAGAATGGCCACACGTGCCCTGCAATCCCCAGGCAGAGCTGTGTGCGTGAGCGCGCTGCACAAGCAGGACTTCCAATTGTGGTGACAAGCAGTAGGAGGCTGAAGGGGCTGAAGTGAGCTGGCTCTGAAGTCCACTCACTCACTTGAACCCCTCTTTTGAGCTTCAGCCTCTATTCATTCATTTACTGAACTGGTGTTTACTGAGAACTATTAAATGGCAAATGTACCCTAGGCAATAAACTAGTACAGACTGGTGCAAGTCTAGAAAAGAGGAATACAGTAAGTCTGAGGCAAGATGAGCAGAGAGCAGAGGGGGTGTGCGTGTGTGTGGTGTGTGCACATGCGCACATGCATGCATGAGGAAGGCCTGAGAAGCAGAGGGACTCTGACAGGAAGTGTGAGTGCCCATGTGGCCCTGGACTCACAAGAATACCAAACTCCTCTGGTTGTAAGATTTTCCTCACATGCAGCAGGTGGTCTTGACTTGGTCTGAGAAGTTGGGGAAGGCTTTCCTGTGCAGGGTGAGCAGGATGAGCAAGAATTAAGTAGGAGACGAGACAGGGACAATATTCCAGGAATAGCAACAAGCACGCAGAAAGGCCCTGAGGTGAGAGGAAACGAGCATATAAAGCTGGGAAGGCTACAGCACAACCACCTGAGGGAAAACAGTGAAAATTGGGCCTAAAAAGGTAGTTCAGACACACACGAGTGTCCTAAAGACTTGGGTCTTTATTTTAGGAACAGTGGGGACTTAAATGGAGTGTGACAATCAGATTTGAATTTTTAAAAAAGATTATTCTGGCTATGGTGTTAAAAAGGAAGAGGAAACAAAGCAAAATTATTTTTTAAAATAAAAAGTAAATCTGTTTTTAAAATTAAGAGTCATTTAATAGTCTACTCCAAAGATGACAGAGGCTTGGGTTAGAGGCAGGTGCTTCTAACAGGTGTGCCAGCTTGTGCCCCACTCCCCTCTGCTTTTCCCGTCCATAACAAATGGCAACGCCACCTACACAGTGCACACACCTCAGTGTGCAGGTTTACTCGGGAAGTCAGGGAGGCCCCAGACTCACGGCTTCCACACTCCTAACATGCCATGAAGCAAGACCAGCAGAGACCAGGAGTTGGGGTGGGAGTGCTGATAAGTGGAGTGACTGTAACAGGTAGTGTGAGTAGGCTGTGACCACAGACGCACAAGGACACCACACTGTCACACAGCTGAGGGAAGGCAGATGGCTGGCCTCATCCTGGCTAAGTCTGGCCTTGTCGATATCAATAAATTAATCATAATAAAAAATAACTGAGTACTGACACCTTTAGGCATTCTTCTAGTGATGGTCTCAAAAATTCTGTAGAATTAATTGACTGGGGTGACTATGTATTTCTTTGAAAACAAAAAGTCAATAATATGTGAGGCAGATAACCGCTAACAAAGGAGTTTTCCAGGAGGGTCAATATTATTCCCAAAGGAACTTTGATTAGGAAGGTAGGTAAAGGTTGCTTACACAAATATGATGTCCCCTCTCTTAGAGTAAGCAGGAATGGCACTGGCTATGGTGGCAAAGCCATACGAGTAGATAATGGCTTCTTCTGTCTTCATAAATTTTGCCAGGTGGTCCTCCAGGTCCAAGTGCACATCTAGTTCAATAATAAGAAGTTCAATGGTTAAACTGTCTTAGAATTCTTTTTATCCAACTCAAGAATAAGAAAATAAGCAGTTTAGTTATTAGTACTGTCACCTTATGGTGTAATTGATTTTAAGTTATAAATTATATAAGATCTATTCAGATAATGCCGGGCCAATACTGTTCCTAAAATCTGAGAACTGCGTTAGCTACTCATCTGTCCACACAACGTGTTACAGGCAGCTCCAACCCAGGCTTACTCTTATATTACTCCAGCATCAGAACTCAAGGCCCAGGGTGCTCACCTGCCTTAGAGTCCCTCACCCACAACACTATTTCCCAACGTGCGACATTAATGAGTAATGTCTTTTTGCATTTTACAGAAGGTACAAAACCAGGCACTAAGACAAGTGTCAACTGGCTTTTAACAGGAAAAGAAAGGAAGAAAAGAGAAAAGTAGTTCATTTAAACAGAGCCCCCAGAGACTGCATGAGGACAGTAAGGCTGCGCAGTGCTGGTGCCCCTCCAAGAGCCGGTGTAGGTCCTTGGTTAGCACCTGCCATCACATGGCAGGACTGGGTTTCCATATGAACTCCTTTTCAAGCATACCGGGGAATTCAAACTCAGAGTACAAAGGGAAACATGGTCTTCTCTTACAGGCGCCCTAATTACGAAGGGGGCTGACAAACTGCCTTGTAGGACACTAAACTTGTAGGACCAGTTTTATGTCAAACTAGCAATATTACTCTAATATTCCTTTGCGTTTTTTAAATTGCCTATCAATAGTGCCTCAAAAAAAAATTTTTTTTTATTTTATTTGGGAATTGGAGGGGAACAGAGCTGGAGAATCAGGAAGGGAGCCAACAAGTTGCTGTCCTTCTGTTCTTCAGTCTAGTTGTGGAGGACGTTGCTTCACTGGCCCATGCTGGTATTACTGTGCTCTTCCCGGGTGAGACAGATAGGTCGCCGGCCATTGGACAGTCAGCCGCTCAAGGTGGCTCAGCAGCTCACGCCGGCTACTGGCCAGCCCCACTGCAGCCTATGCAGTCGCTAGCGACTCACAGCAGCCCAGCTCCAGGTTGAGCTGTTGTTCACCATCTTAGCTGCAGAGGATGCAGTGTCACTGGCCCTCATGTGGGATCCAAACTGGGGCCCTGCTGCTCAGAGCTGGCGTCCCAAGCCAACTCCTAACCAACACGCCACTTGGCTGGCCCCTCAAAATGTCTTTTTAAAACAACTTTATCATCTATTGGTATCTTCATTAATTAATGAGTTGAATAAATTAATTGTATATTTGTATGAGTACGTTAAGTTACAAAAACTATATTTTGCCACTGCACATGTGAAAAAGAATGTTGATGTAATCATAGGAATAAGCTGTAATTATTAAACTGGTATTGTTTTCCTCTTATATCCTGGTCTACCATCTCACCTGCCCAGGCTGAGCCATGAGGCCTCATGCCCTGGGATGGAGGAACCAGCAAGGTCTAGAATCAACAGTGCATTGACTGGCTTTGAACCTGAAAACTTCAAAGTGGTCTTAAAATGAAGCATTATCCAGAAGAGACAAAAACTGTTAAACTTCTTTAGCTCTTTTTACTACAGCAGGACCAAGGCCTGGAGACGCACATTAGAGTTTTACCACATGTCCTATGCAAGGAGAACTGAGAGCTGGTGTGGAAGGACGCAGGTAGGCCCCGCCGGCCTTGGAACTTCATGGGAGAAAGGAGGAAAGTCATGGTTCATAAAGGCAGACGACGAGCACGTGGAAGAGGGAGCCGCGGCACTCCCGAGGGGAACTTGGCAGTCTGGGTAGAGGCAGGGGCCTCAAATGCCCTGTGAGGGTGGTGCGAAGGGCCGATTGGTGGCAGAGCCCCATGGCCCTGTTTCCAGGCCCTGTGGGAGGAAGCATCGCTCCAGGACACCGGCCAACTTCCCCGCTCTCAGCACTAGCCTTCCCTCCAGAGCCCCGGCACCGGCACCTCACTCCAGACCAGGGAGAAGGCAAGGGCCTGCGCCCCCCACTCCAGAGGGACAAGTATGTCCCCCACTCTCAGAGGCCTTCTTGGTGGGAAGGCGGAGAGGGACAAGGCCTGAAGAACTGATACACACAAGAGATGACTGAACCCAGCTGGGTACACAGCTCGACAGTGAGTGGACTACACATTTCCACTGCAAGGGACATGGTTAACTGTCAAGGGCAAGGCTTTCACTGCCCTCCAGGGAGGGACAGCAAGTAAGGTCAGTTCAGCTACAGGAAACAAAGAAACAACTTTTTAGCACAGTTGAACAAGGTGTCTAAAATCTATAAACCCACTCACTGATTTATGAAGCAAGCTAACCTATTGTGATGCTTTTTAACTAGTAAAAGGCAAAATTAAGAATTATAAAAGTTTCAACTTCACAAAGGCCTATATTTTAAAAAGTAGTCAGATAAAGGGTATCCAACACTCTTCTCAGTTAAATCACTTATTAATCAAACATTTAGTGAACAGCACATAAAGACAGAAACTCTGGTAAGCATTGGTTTCTGCCACTTGACAAGTGACAGAGCTAAGAGAGGCACCCAGCAGCTGTCATTGGAGAGCTCCAGGCCGAGAGCAGGTACGAGGCGAGGCGGTGCCTTCAGCAGACTGGTCTCAACACTTGAGTCCCGTCCACACTCACAGCCACACACATGCACAGTGGCTTCTGGCTAATGACAGAGAACACTCAAGGGTGAGCCAAAGACAGGGGTGGGAACCAGCTACTGAATAGGAGAAGACACGCATTGTCTACACTAACCCCAATTGGACTGCAAGACAGATACAGTGAGGAATTTGAAAATTGAGCAGCAATATCCAGAAACTGAAGCCCATTTCATAGATTTCTTATAGGATGTTACAGAATTGTGAAAATGAACTATTTATCCCATTCCAATGAAATAATGATAAAAAAATAAGCATGTTTCTTTCCATTTATAAGTTAAAAAATATATATGTATATATATATATATACATCTACACCACAAGTCTATGACAGAAAAAAACACATGAAAAGCATTTGATTTCCATTACTGATCAGTTATAGTCATTTTATAGAATGGACACTTTCATTGTATCAATATTAAATGTGGGATTTTTACAATAATAAAGAAGAACGGATCTCATTTGGTCAAAATGGTCCCAAAGGGGCACTTGACTCTTGGAGCACCAGCCTTGTGGTATCAACACCAGCACGTCCGAGGAGTTGACCCTGTACCTGACTGTTCACCCTTCTACAACAGGTGCTGCCAGAAGGCTTTAGGCAAAATCTGGCAGGAATGAGGAAGCAGGAAAGCACTAAAGAAGCAGCCACTTCCCACGCAGCTGAGTATGGGCTTGTCTTCTTTTTCCTCCTCATTTACGCCATGAAGGGGGCCTCCCTACAGGCAGGTCTCCACCACCTGCCACGTGTTGCTTCAAATCAGACATGAAGGCAGACTCTGTGCAAGGCCTCCTTCACATTACAATTCCGCCTCTATACTGGATTATGTACCCCAAATCTTCACTACCAGATAGACAACCCAAGCTACAGTATATTGCTTTCTTTCCATCTCTATTTCATAAAGAAAAAGCATGCTATGGATGCAACCTACTTCTGCTGACTGAAAAAGGGATTTTAAATCATTCTGTAGACTTAGTTCTAAAGGTCTCTTTTTCCTTGATTAGTGGTGAGACAGTAAAACAAACTTGCCTTTGTTTCAGAGCTTCAATTAATTACCCCGTTGGTAAAAACTGTATGTTAGGAATACTCTCATGATTACATATACTCAAAACTCTTTTTATGTCACTGCCATAAAGTGGCAAGAAGGAGCTATACACAAGAAATTAATGACTTATTGGTTCTTGCTTAGTCCTAAAGGTTTAAAAAAGGCTAGCCTTGTCCTGCGCCTATCTAAAGACACTGGGTTTCAGCTGCTGTCAGCCTTGCAAAGGAGGTTTTGTCACAGGTACATATGGATGAGCTGCATGACTTCTGATGTATGACAGCTACTTGGCAATGAAGGAACTCTTGACCCAAGGAATGGGGAGGCAGCAGACAGGAGAACTGCCAGGGCACATTCTCCACCTTCTGGTCTTGTGTGTATGACCACTGTGCCGACTAGGACGGCAGATCTGCGTGAGTGCAAGTGCTTTACTTGTCATCTCTGATACACTGCCAGGAGCAAATGGTAGGGACCAGGCCACCGAGGAGGGTGGCCAGAAAGCCTCTGGGTCCCTCCCAGCACTCGCTGACAGTTCCTGCACCTGCTCCCTTACCAGAAAGTTAGATCCAGGAGTCAGGGCCAAGACAGGGTGCTGGGCACTAAGCACAGGGCTTGGCCACGGCGAGCGTCATAGCAGGCTTGGGGCTGGGCTCCCGTATCACCCGGTGTGGAGCCTGCCCTGGCCTGGACCTGTTCTGTGCCGCTCGGCTCCTTCTTCTGTCCAACTAGTAACAGCTGTACCTGCCTCAAAGGGTTGTTTTCAGAACGGCTGGAGTTAATGCTTATAAAACACTCGCATGGAAAAAGCAATATGCTGTGTGTTCATTCCATTAAATTAATACTTCTAGACTTTAAAAGGTTTTCTTTTAAAAGAAAAAAGCAGTTACACTATCTCCTAATTAATTTATCCAAATCCTGGATATTAAATTAAAGTTACTTGTTCAATTTCCCACTTATACAATATCTCCTCCTAATCTGATAAGAAGATATCAACTTTAGAACAGTTTAAAAATAATCAACATTTCTCTTAAGTCTCCATATTTTTATGTCATATACTGTTGATTTTTTAAATCCCTTGACAGTTGGACAATTTTTCTTAAAAGTACAAATAATATTACTTATGTACTCATTAGAACACAAACACAGTGCTGAATGTTTCTCAAGATGTTTTCACATGTAGTATTGTATGTGATTCTCACTAAACTGCTTCAAGTTGTGCAGATAAAAACTGTTCCGCTCTAACACTATGAAAACTACACCCCCATGGCCAGTAGGAAGAAGTGGTA